AACCTGATGCTTTAATAATAAATTATCAGCATTTCTTTTTAGATTCGGACATGGCATCAGTCATCTGTGGGCAAAATTAAATTATTTAAATAAGACAGAAAATCCAGCAGCTGTATATTAAAAATATTTTTTGATTTTACCGAAAACATTCCATAACTCGAACATCTTCTTGCAACAATTAGCTCGAATTACGGAGATTGCACTGTAATTATATTACCGATTGCTAAAACCTTCAAAAAGAAACTATTGAGGAGTACTCGGGTAATTTTGCATGATTGAATATTTAACTGCTAATAACTAAAGTCACGATTGGCGTAATTTATCTATCTTTGCTAACTACGAGTACAAAACTAAAATTTAATAAAAAATAACCTATTTGCTTTTCTCCAGCACTCTCAAACAAAATAATACTGACTCACTATAATTTGTGTGATATACTATCTGTTTATATTTTTTAAAATATTTTCTTAGCACTTTCCTTTTCAAGATTCAGGAAACGAATAAACGTATTTGTCCCACATTCATATTTATAGAGTGACGAATTGAACAAGTCAGTGCAAGGTAGCGAAGCTCTGAGACTGCGACTCTCAGGTTTTTACAAGTTCAAAATGTATTGCGACCACAAAGCGAATACCAACATCCTACAACTTACACAATTTTATAAACATATTTAATACATTTTTCACTTCTTAGGTACTTTCATAAATAATGTATATGTTTTGATATTATAAGATAGTATGATGTAAGTAAATAGGTACTATCAGTGTATGTGTTGAGATCCACTATCGTGGACCCCCATATTCATTTCATGGACCCCTAATTTTTTTTCGCTGACGTAGACCCCTTGCAGGTTTGTCATAGACCCCTAGGGGTCGATATAGACCACTTTGGGAATCAATGGTTTAAACAGTGCTCCAGCATTTCGATAGCATCCTGCCAAAAACACAGACCGTAAAGAAGCAGAAAAACTAGAGCACTAAAAAGTCTATAGGAACTTATCAATTTGCTAACATAGTTTACAAAGATCACTTGTTTTAATTTTAACTTACTTGTGTATTTGTACTTGAGACCGACTTAATGGATCCAAATAGATGCTGTAATAATTTGATGCAAAATCAGGGCATGTTTTGGGAGCCATGTTGACTGTGATTCCATATCCCTGATTATTGTAACGCTGTTAGAAGCTTTTGAGTGGGAAGGGAGTGGAGGGTTAATTTGACAATTTGATGTGACTCATACCTGTTGAGAAAGCATGAATCTCTCTATACAATGGCATCGACTCAAAAATAAATAGGATCTTTATTATCAGCTATACGAAGGAAGATATTTTTCACCTGGAAAAAACAGCTCAGTTGATTTCGAGTAATAATGATCTTCAGTAAAGCCAAAATCTCAAGTCAGTTGTGATCTCAATTATTATTATTATTATTATTATTATGTCTTTATTGAGTATTGTTATATACAATACAGAAATCTGCAACAGGGCGAAGTCTAGCCTAAGCTACTCTACTTAACCCTAAATAAAAGCTAACAATGAAGAAAGCCACGTATAATACATAAAATGCAATCATCAGCAGTGATCAAATACAAAATAGCATAGAAAATATGAGATAATTTGAATGAAAATAAACAAAAGCCTAAGACACAAAACCGCAAAGCGAATAGTATATAATCAAAAACTATTGAACTATCCATTACATTGACTATTGTAATAAAATTGCCTTACCAGGACTTTAAACATCGGTACAGAACTAAACTTAAGTGCGTCATCGATACTATTGTATATAGTAACAGCATTATATGAAAAAGATTTTCTAAATAAAGATAAACGAAACTTAGGAAGAGAAAGTTTATTAGTGAACCTCGTATTTAAATCATGCAAATCACGCCTAAAGACTAATTTTCTTTTCAGGTAAGCAGGGCTCTGTGATGATAAAATACGGTGAACTAAAATAGAAGTATAATATTTATGAGTATATTCCAGTTTTAACCATTTTAACTCATTTATTTTAGCTGAGATTCGATCAAACTTTTTGAGCCTAAAAACAAATCTACAACAGCAATTTTGTACCTTTTGAAGTCTGTATTTCAAAATAGACGTTAAGAAGGGATAATAAAGCGTGATTGCATGATTTAAAATAGGTAATACTAGGCTCTCTGAGAGCTTTTTACGTAATTTAAAATTTAAAATACCACCATTTCGATACAGTAGCCTTAAAACTAGGTAAGTCTTTTTCACTAATAGTGAGACGTACTCTTCAAATCTGAGCTTACAGTCGAAAATAACACCAAGATTCTTTGCACTATTAACTACTGAGACTGATTTTCCATTTAATGTTAAGTCAATATGCTGCATAAAAATTTCATAACATGGCGGAGAGAAGATAACAACTTGACATTTATCTGGATTGAGGTTTAAGTTGTGATTAAATGAATATTTTTGAATATTTTCTAAATCTTGATTAATATAAGCAGATGCGGTATTTATAAATCTAGGATCGAACGACAGGTATAATTGTGTGTCATCAGCATAACCTTGTATCTTGCAATAAGTGATAGTTTTAAAAATATCAGACGTATATATAATAAATAGCAAAGGTCCTAATATGGAGCCTTGAGGGACTCCAGAAGTCACAGGCTGGAAGTCAGAATACGAGCTATTATCAACCACAACACATTGGTAACGGCCCTGAAGGTAAGATTTGAAAAGTCGGCAGCCCAATTGATTTATACCATAATATCGTAACTTTGCAAGAAGTAAACAGTGATCAATCGTATCAAACGCCTTCGAAAAATCAAGAAATACAAGAGCTGTAGCAAGGCCAGCGTCGAGAGATCTAATAATATCATCTGATACATTTAAAAGGAGCGAAGTTGTGCTATAGCCCCTTCTGAATCCAGACTGTGATTCAGGTATAATTTGGTTAGAAATCACAAATTCGTATAACTGTAAATAGATCACCTTCTCCAGTACTTTAGACAGAGCAGGCAGTATACTAATTGGTCTTAAGTCATTATATACAGACGGTATGCGTATTTTGGGCAAAGGTTTTATAAGAGCATATTTCCATAAACTAGGATAATAACCAACCTCTATGCAGCAATTTATAATATGAGTTATGTGTGGGGCAGTTACATAAATAGAGTATTGTAGCATTTTTGCACTAATTTCGTCCACACCATATGCGCTAGACGTTAGATCAAGAACCAGTTTTTTTACTTCATCCACATTAGCAAAATTAATAGAAAAAGAAATATTAGAAAATTTGGCTGAATTATAAAATGCAGTAGCTTCAGGACAGCTATTTGATGGACTAAAGACTGAAAGAAAATGACTATTAATTTCAAAGGGTTCTTTAAGGTGTAGAGGTATATCTGTATTATGTTTTCTTTTGATATTGAGGCGATTGACTGCTTGCCAGAGATCCCTATAGTTACGACAGTTTAGTGTTGATGACAAAAATACAGCTTTTTCATGTCTCAAAGCAGAGCACACAGAATTGCGTAATTCTTTATATATAGCAAAGTCCGACAGTTTACCGGATTTTTTATACTTTTGCAAAGCTTGATCCCTTTTTTTCATCATAGCTTTGAGGTTAGGGGTAACCCACGGAGCAAAAGGTTTTGTTATGCGAGAGGTTCTAACAGGGGCATGTCTGTCAAAAAGATCGACTATTAGATTATTAAACAGCGCTACTTTATCATCGAGATTATTTATATAGAAAATATCATTCCAAGGTAAATTTACTAAGTCTGAATTGAAAGCATCATACGAAAAATTTCTGTAATCTCTGTATTTTAATATGAACGGCTTAGGACGCGATGTTCGGTGTGAGAGCTCACAGTAGATTGCTTTGTGATCAGATATGCCAAAACTATCAATAACACCCGAGTTTACAACTCTTTCATTTGCACTGGTAAAAATTAAGTCAATTATCGTTTGTGATAAGGCAGTTATTCTAGTTGGCTCTGTAATGAGTTGATGGAAATCATATGAAATAAAGCAATGATTGACTTCGTTATCATACGATTGATCGACGTTGAAATCTCCAAGAACTATAATGTGATCAAACTGGGGAGTAATAAAGGAAAGGACATTGTCCAGATAATCCAAAAAATCATTATTGCTTACTGATGGGGGCCTATAAATTACACCAATTATCAATACCTCACCATGCGTTTTTATAGACAACCAGATGTGCTCAATTCCCAGAAAACCATCAAAATCTTGAAGTATTTGCTTGCAAGCCATAGAGTTTTTAAAATAGATTCCAACTCCTCCACCCCTGGTAGAGCGATCATTTCTAAGTAAAGAGAATCCTGGAATACCAACTGCTCCACTAGAGATATCACTGTTCAACCAAGTTTCAGAAACGCACATAACATCAAAGTCAAAATCCAATACTAGATGAACAAAAGAATCAAAATGAGTGAAAATAGATCTGCAATTCAAGTGGCCAATTTTTATGTTTTTATTGTTCATATTGAATTCTATCCTTAAGTTGTCCTAATTTGTTAAGGTAGCACAAACATTGAGTGCTATTAGCTGAATGGTCAGTAGGAAAATTTGTTTTAAACTTATTGTTGGAAGTCTTACAGTTAATACAACAGAGATCAGAAGAAATGCAGTCGCGCTTTTCATGATTTCCTGAACATTGAGGACAAATCGTAGCTGAACTCTTGCAATCTTTTTTATAATGCCCATAGTTATAGCACTTGAAACATTTTGCAACATTAAAATGCTCCTTTACATTACATCTTTTCCAACCTATATATAAAAATCCTTTGCCCATAACATTTTTAAAAATAGAAGGAGTAACTTCAAGGACAACATTGATACCGTCCTTAAATTTAAAATTAGTAACCACACGAATATCAGCTTCCGTAGCATCTAATTCATTATCTGCGACGATAATTTCAGAAAGGCGGGCATCCTCGGCAGCTGATTTATCAACACTGTAGACTACAATCTTCGGATGAAGTTTTTTCGGCTCATAAACATTAAATGCATTTCCAGCTTGCCTCTTTAGACCATCTTTCAAATTTTGAAGCGACTTGACATCAGCACAGTTGACTAGCACGCCATCCCTAATGAGTCTAGTACCAGTAACATTCGCATTTAGTTGACTCGGCCTGAATTTAGACTTCAGCTCTTGCTCCAATTTTGCGTTCCCCATGTTTATGTCAGTGGGTTTAATAACCAGCACAGCTGATGGCGAGACTTTTTTTGCTGCTTGCGAGTATGTGTTTACCAACGACGAGTTCGGAAAAAAACCAACAGCCGAATTCAGTGTAGAGGAAACAGCAGGCGTTTTAGATTTCAAAATGGTATTAGAAAATTCTAGTTCACTCACATACTTTTCTAGCAATTGCTTTTCTCGTGTAAGGCAATCAATTTCTTTATGCAAGAGCAGCACATCGGTACTGCTACTAGACACCTTGCCGTCTCCCAAACAATGTTTACAACGGAATTCTTCCTTTTTCATTGGCACAATCTTGGCAATTGAATCGAAACATTTTCCATGTAGAAGAGTATCACATGCACTATTAGTACACTTAACTTCACTTAGCGAACAAAATTTAGCACAGAATTTGCATTTATTGTCAGGAGGTTTTGCCGGATCGACCGGCTGGCTCGACATCTTGTTGGTGGTGGTATCTTATATGTCTGGTGGGCAGTATAGTGATTTGTAAATGAACCTGGACTATTAATGTGTAGAAGAATAGAACATGTAAGTAGAAACAGCAATTTCAGAAAAGCGTTAAATGGCTGCTGCTGACAGGTTTCCCTTATTCGTTCTACTATTTACTGACCAATTTGCCGCAATTTCTAGCAAATCAGCCGTGTATCCAGCAGCGAAATCCTATTCAACCATCGAAAGCCCGACCATTAGAATCCCTTTCCAAATATTTACCGGAGTTTCTGTAAAATATTTTCGACCCTTTCTGTCCGATGTATCCACGAGGCTTGGATGTGAAAAAAGACCGCCTTTCGTTTCCACTACTTTATCGTCCTTTTTTCCTTGGATGGCAAACGAAAACGATTTTTCTCTTAGGACTGCCCTAAATTTCTCCTCGGAATTCGATCTGCTTTTTCGGGCGCGTTTAGGGAAAAGTTCTAAGTTCTAAGATTCGTTTCGAGTTTTATTTCCTTACCCTTCAGTTTGGAAGTTACAAGATACAAGTTAACGAAGTGCTTTTGGTACGTAACGTCGCGGATAGGATTTGAACTTGAAAACGGAATCAGCTTTTAAACGAACTTTCAAATATACCACCTACAAAGGCAGCAAAACAACTGATAGACGATCTACGTGGTTCTGAAGTAGTTCGTTACAAACAGTCCTTATAAATTTATGCTGAAATTTTCGTTCTGCAAAATTTTTGGAACACATTTTTATATAATAGAGTAAACACATATCGAGTGATCAATAATTAAGGGACGCCGCCTGTCTCAACAACGATTTAAGCTAAGGTCATCCATGAAAAAATTTCATGACAAAAGTGGCCAAGGGAAATTGCTGGAAATTATTTTAGCTGGCCGCTAAGGGGCGCATTTTTAATTTAAAAAGTTCAAGCGCCACTATTTCGCAAAAACTCGTAATTAGCGTACTGATTCAATAGCTCTATTATGTTGATTGCTCAAATCTCGATCTTCTTTCTTAATGCCATTTTTCCATATTTAGATTTTTTCAGGATTTTGATTTCATCTTGCGCCTGCGCTTCGACCCAATCTTGTAAAATTTGTTCACTTTGTGGCCACTAAACAGCGTTTTATTGCTCTTTTTAATTCTTCTGAAAATGTCAAATACAATGATCTTTTCCAAAAATACGTTTCCCGAGAAAACACAGAACTGTTCCGAGATTTTTAAAATGGAGAAAACCATATGTCAACAGCTCAATTCTTCATGGAAATATAACGAAAAATATGCTTAAATTACATGTTGTTTAAAATAAATATTCAAGCTATAAGTAGTTACGAGCCGCTTCCCACTTCAGTTGGCCCAACTATTGAAATCTTAGTTTTTTGCTTACGAAACACAAATAATAAAAATATAGCAGGCTGTTATAGGTATGAAATATTAACAATGAATATTTTGATAATATATAGTAGAAAACACCAACTTTATCACTCCCTAATCAAATTTGCAGCATAGAAATAACACATGTTGCAATTACAGCATATCAACCTATTTTCATTTCAATGCAAAATAAGTCTATAACGCATAGGTGGCTGTGAAAAATAAAAGCCATGACAATTGTTTTTATTAATCACAGCTGTCAGAATACGTTTAAAATAGTTTTGGGTAGTTAAGGTTTTCAAAATGGGTAGAGGAAGGGTTATTAGTGAGAAAATTCGGTTACTGATAATTAAATTTTTTAATTCCGGGAAATCAAACTCAGAAATTGCAACTTTGTTAGACTTATCGCGGTACAGTGTGATAAATATTGTTAGAAGATATAATGTAACTCGTTCAGTTAATATTAAGCCACGATATGTGTGTAATATTACAAATGCCGATCGAAGAGCATGAAGAAGAATAATCGTGAAAAACAGGCGTGCCAATTATTTACAATTAAGTGCTCTGTGGAGTCACGCTGTTGGAAGGAGAATTCCGTGGTCCACAACTCATAGAGAGGCCCACAAACTGGGATTAAGCACCTGCAAGGTAAGTTTTCTTATAATAAAAAGCGAAGTAAAAACCCTAAAGTTGCACAACATGTTTATAGGACAAAGACAAGCCACTACTAACTCCACTGCAAAAGAAAAATCGGCTTAGATGGGCTAAATAACATAGACAATGGACACCTCAACAATGGTGTGCAATACAATGGAGTGATAAGGCCCGATTCGAAGTTTGTGTTGGTGACAGTCGCAGTAGTTATTCGCAAAAAAAATTGAGCATTCCATGTTGTCTGTCTGAAGAGAAAAGTGAAATTTCCAGCATCAATTATGGTCTGGGGCAGTATGTCATCAAAAGGAGTAGGAAGAAGGAGAAGATCAACAGTAAATACGCATTTCTCGTTTTCCACATCCTTTTGTTTTTCTGCCCTGGCCTCATTTTTGTTTAATATATGAGCGTTATACAGGTTGTCCTCCATGTTACGGTTTTCCTTTATACGACGTGAAGACCTTGAGAAAATAGTCGGATTTTCATATACATCAATGTCTTAAGAGAACCGACATATTCGGCTCCGCAAACTCAATTAAACCTGAACCGAAGACGATCACGTTCACAGCGCCAGCGTACAGTTATACGACGTACGACTACGATGTATATACGCTATGCAACCTAACCTAGACGCCGGTAGTGTAGGTCAACAAACCATTACATTGGTAACCTATTGCTGTTTAAAAAATAAAAAAAAATGGCACACTCATATAGCTAACTCAAGAATTCAATTTCATTAAAAAAAAACAAAACAATAATAAATACTGATATCTCAGAAATACGCCTAAACGTAATTTAAGAGAAAAGCTGCCACACCAACATAACGGTAATTTTGTTTACTACAAACCAAAATAAACATATTTTTACAAAATCAAACTTACCTTTCATGAAAAAGTATTACCTGAACACCAAACTGTGATATTTTAAAAAGAAGCCACGTTTATTCTACAACTGAAGAGCGTTTGAAGAGCACGCGTGCACCTGTCACTTTGTTTTGGCTGGAGGTAGCAGTATGTCGATGAATAAAGTGTGGAGATCAGTTAGAAGCTTTACTCATCGTGGCTTTTCAATCAGTTTTCGTACGAACTTGTCAAACATTTAGTTTTGGTATGACAGAAAAGGAGTCATAGTAGTCAAATAGATAAATATCTCCAAGTGAAAATGGAGTTAGCAGTTTAACGTATTTCGCCGACGACTTGGCACTTAGACCTGAGTTGGCGTTGAAATGCTCTTCCTGGAACTCAACGTGCTAGCAAGAAGACTGAAAGCAAGGTTTCAGGATGCCTAAACAATACAACCTCAAAACGCCACCTGCAGCATGTTTTGGTTCGCCGTAACACTTCAGAACAAAAATCCGTTTCCTCCAAGAATAACGTAAGGTAGAGCAAGGGGGAGTTTAAGTTGACGAACTAATTTAAATTTCAAGCACACCAGATTAAAATATATTTCAATGCTAATTGTTTCAGAAACAGCTTGCCGAATTGCTGTTGAGTTCCAGAAGACTGTGTCAGAAGTTTCATAAGAATTCCTTGAGAAAGTTATTTGCTGACTGCGAGTTCGTGTTATTTATGCTGCTGTTAAAATAGCGTATAATGAAGTATGATCTAATTATGACAGATCCGGTAAATGTTTGGAATTTCGTTCCATGAAATTGTACTCTGATGGAAACGCTATAAGCATTTAACAGTATGTCTTGTTTTATACTAAAGCCCTGTGTCTTCATTAGTTAGTTTTCAAGTTAAGTAACTATCATCAGAAAGTTAACTGGTTTCTCAGGCTTTGGGTAAATAACTCAAAATTGATACGACAATGCTACGTTTACGGTCTAGGCGGTGTCTTTTGTGATGGTTGACTTTCCCTATTCGAAGTCCATTTTTGGTTATTTGGCCAAGGGCAGAATTTGAGTCAAAGAAAACGACCGACTACCATAAAGGAATGGAAGGGAGTTCACTTGAACGATAGTTTGAAGAAACGCTCCCAAAGCCTGACGACACTGCCGTCATTGTACTTGATAATGCTGCATACTACACAAGAAAACTAGAAAAAATTGTGGATTTGAAAACCAGGACAAGGATCTTTTAATGTTCTTTAGTAGAGAAGTAAGAATTGTGTCTATTTGTATAATTGCACACGCCACTGGAGTTCGTTCAAAATACGAATGGCTTGATTACCCTGCTCAGCCATCTTCACCACACTTTGTTATTTTCTTTGCGTTATCATGTGTGAAAATGGAAATCGCTGAGAATTAAACTAGACTGTATTAAATTGCTAGTAATTATTATACGCAAACACGCTTTCGAGCTCATAGCGCTTTTAATATTATCTATATCTTTGTTTTATTCCCGGGGTATTGCATGTTAGCGCTGTGGTTTAACATTTTAATACACAGAGAACACGCGTCGTGCATGCATTTATAAATAGAAGCTCGCTGTGCGTCGAATTGCAAGTGCAGCGGAAAAATTACTTTTAAGTGGATTCCCACACAGCAACATTTTCTAACCTCTCAGCAATCGCCATAAAATAAAATGGAATGAACGAATTCGCATTCTAATATTTGCAACTCTACAAGTGGCTGGCTGACTTCGTTTCTGGCCGCAAGATAACCGTTGAAAATTGGGTGTTTCCCAGGGATCGGTCTCAGCTTCGACATTATTCCTTCTACTAATCAACTACATCCTTTCCTGATCGAACAATCCGATCCACTCTACATGCCCCGGTATTAAGGCTTCTGCCTGCGCAGCTGCTTCGGTATAAAAAAGTGCAAAAAGTTCTTGGTGCCCAGGAACCTATTCCAAAACAGATTCGGAAGCCATTATTTAAGGGGCAGCTGTGAACTCTTGCAGAAAAGGGAAACTTGATATTTGGATAGCAAACTAGGTACAAGGGAACTTGCGATAGCTGGTTTAAGGTGTAGTTTTGGAGTGTATTGAATGTGGTGGAAATCACTTTGGACGAAGTCAATAAATAAAGCT